CCAAACAGATAAATTGACCCAAACTGCTCTGGGAAACTTGAAAACGAATTTTCCTCCAATCTTTTCCATTTAGGAAACAATGAGAAGAATTCCGGTGGAATATTTGTTCAGGGTATAGTGAGGTACCTGATTGCTTTCTGTTTTCTTAGGATGATGGAAAGACTCGTTGGACCGCAAAGTTGAACTTGAGGGGAGTTGATTGGGGTAGTTGAGGAATACGAGGGTTGGAATTGGTTTTGGGGGGGTAGAAAATACGACTATGGGCTACCGGTTGATACTCTATAGGTCTGAATTTGTAGTGCATCATTTGTTTTTATTTCATGAATGGAAATGAAAGGGGTTTATGAACCTAACAAACTCAACACGTCTCTTGAGATAAGTTTGGGACAAGATGGAATTATTCTCATTGCCAGTATTTCCAATTCCTGAAACCTCTTTTCAGTTCATGTTATCACTTACTTTTAGTGATTTTATTTTTGTGATACTTTTGTGATTTCAGGTATATGTTATTTATATTTCGCACAAGGCTGTGTCAATAAGATTTGATTCTTCAGACAATAAAGTATATTTTAATTGGATTGAATTGAATATACAAACCTGTTGAAAACCGAAATAATTAAATCACTGCCTCAGCCTCAATTACTCCTTCACCAGCTACTTCCGACGCGAAACAAGCCGTGCAACACTCTGTATATTCCGCTCCGTTGGCTTTTATAACGCTTCTGCAGCCAACACGAATCCATAATGGCTTCACCGTTATTGTATTCGATCAAAATTAATGCGTCAATATTTGTTATTGACAGAGTGGATGGGGCCTTTGATGTACGCACAAAAGCTCCGGTTGACCGGAGTGGATGTTCCACGCAAGGCTTTCTATGATAGATGAGCGCAGGGCGTGGAAGGAGAGATGAAAGACGATTGTAATGATAATGGTGTCGATTACAATGATAGACTTTTTATTGAAGAACAGTTTTCCACTAACGGGATCGTTATTGGTATAGATTATTTCTCCCATTACATCTGAAATGCTTAAAAATATCAATGCTACGCCTCTTGTTTTATTGTTCAATTCCCACTTTTGAAATCGGAATTAGACGACACAGTGACGATACGTTAGCTTGGAAGAAACTTTTCGCTGCTTAAGCCGCTGCAATAACGGACAGGAACAGCATCTACAATTGAGTATCTAATACCAAAAAAATGTGTTTCAATTTTATGTTCAATATATTTTATAATGATGCTAGGAAATCCTTGTTACCTATTATGAAATTTCAGGAATTATCAGACCTCCCTAACTTCTCCATTTTCATAAGAAAATGTGTCATTCTTTCAAAGAGAGAAAGATTTCAATTATTTTCAGAAGGAACGCTTCACAAAGGTGTGTAGATAATGCAAAGAAGTAAGTTTCAGACACAAACAGGAAGAAAAAGTTTTTTCGAAACAATTACTTGCATATAAACACTGAATTACACAGCTACTTCTATATGAACATTGAATATAATAAAAAATAAGCACATTTTTGTATTCAGTTTGTACTCAAAACAATCGCTGACTCACTGATCCACTAACTGACTCACTGACTGATCGACTAACCGACTCACTGACTTACTGATTGACTGACTGACTGACTGACTAACCGATTGCCTCACTGACTGACTAACTGACTGACTGACTCATTCACAGACTAACTGACTCATTCCTTGACTGACTGACAGTCTTATTCACTGACTAACTTACCGACTTACTGACTCACTGACTGAATGACTGACCGACCGACAGATTCACCGACTGACTGACCCACTCCCTCACCGACTCACTTACTGTTTCGCTCACTGACTGACTGACTCATTAACTCACAGACTTCATTACTTACTTAATGACTCATGAAAGTACTCAGTGAACGCCTGACTCACTGACTTACTGACTGTCCCACTGACTCACTGACGGACTCACTGACTGACTGTCTGACTGACTGACTCACTGACGGACTGTATCACTGACCGACTCACTGACCCACCTACCCACTGACCGACTCACTGACTTACTGACTGATAACAACAAAAAGACAATTTAGGTTACTTGGGCTCTGTAGCTGGTGGTTTTTTGTTTTGAACTAGTAGTTCTGAATTAGAATGAACTAGCACACTTCCATTCCACAAGTAACTGCTTCTCATTGCCCGCTTCACTTGAGCTTACCAGGGAATTCCATTACGATCGAATATTCGGATTGTTTGTATTTCCACGCTTGATTCGTCAACTATTCGATTCGATCCATGATCAAACCGCATCAGCCGGTCTCATTGGGGAAAATGGATTAATGAGTAACCCTATTTGGGGGCAGATTGGGAGATTATAAACCACAACCGGGTCTATCTACCGGGAAATAAATGAGAGAGTGACTTTGGGGATATACAACTATTACTTATGTTGTCGTGATGATGATGGTATTCATTAAAGATTTGAATATTATCATTATTGATTGGTGATTTGGGTTGTTTCCAAACTTAATGTTCGAGGTTGTGTATTTCTTTGAAATTGAGATCTAGAATTTTGCTAATTATTTGAAAGCATGGCTGTCGTTGAACGAACGTCTGTTTGGGGACCTTCGTTTTACACAATCTGAAAAATTTTATAATTGTAATGAATAACTTCATACACGCGTTGACTCCAGAAATATTCGATGTACAAGGTGTTCTATGACATCAGTCTGTTGCTATTTCGCCTCTATCCATATTTGTCTCCAAGACGGGTAGCCAAGTACGACCCATTAATTATGGTTCCAGCCAGATATACTTTGACAACCCCGTATATTTTCCAGCAAAGCCACTGGAAACGACTCGAAAGAAGACGACAATAACGGGATCAACTTCAAATATCTGAGTGCTTCACAACGCCGCTCTTTTCATCGTCTCTACCAATAGCCCTTATGAAAGCGAACCTTCGAAGCGTTCCCGATAATTGAACCTTCTCACGGGCTTTCTCGATTGATAATTCATCATTTCTGAATTCCTAATTGAAATCTATTGTGAGTAGCTCTTTCGGCTGTGAAATGACTGGCTATGAATGAAAAATGTCAACTGGAAAATTCTCCTGGGAGGAGGAAGGTGAAGAAGTCTGTCTAGAATTGATTTCGAAATGAGCTGTTGAAAGACGTACTATGTACGGGGTGCACAAAAAACTGTGCAGGCTGAATGGGATAATTAATCTCCATCCTTACATGTATCAACAGGAAATTGGAAACTCATTGAGCATTTACCATTTGAATGAAGAAGAAACATTTGAATTAATGAATTCTTGTCAACCATATCACACCATATTTCAGTAACCTGATGAGTCTTTATCTACAACCACACAATCAAAACATGTGATTACAATTTTTGGGAAAGGAACGTTTTGGCTTTCGATTTTTTCGTCTTTATACAAAATATGTGATAAGTTCATAAAAAGGAAGTTGAAAATCTAATATAAAAAATTCTTGAAGATGGAATGATTAGAAAAGTGTTAGTCATTGATCAAGCCCTATGTGGATAGTACCAATAAAATTATACGCGAATAGAACCCAAAACTGGTGCATTGTCGTTGATTATAGAAAATTAAAACTATGCAAACCCGATTTCCTCCAACCAATATTGATGATTCATTTGAAAAATCAGGACTAGCTCAATATTGAACGAGGTTAGATTGAGTAAGCGGTTTTAATTGAATGAAATGCTTGAATACAGTATTGAAAAAACAGCTTTTTCAACAGATATGACATTTTGAAATCCTTAGGATGCCATTTAGCCTAAAAAACGCCCCAACAATCTTCCAAAGCATGATCAATGAAATCATGGATGACGTAAAAAGTCAGTTTTTTTTATGTTTGCCAATATTCCATGAGCTTTCTGTATAAAATTCTCTCTATCAGAATTTTTTCCGATTGTGGGAGGGGAAAATTCCCTATAAAGCTTGAGAAAAAAAATCCGATTTCTTTCACAAAAAGTGATTTTTATTCAACACCATTATCAGTTCTAAATGTATGACATATAATTCGATTGCGACTCTGTGTGAAGTTTCAGCAGGAAACTCAATAAGCTAGACTCGATCTCAACAAGTCTAGGCGCGTCCACATCATCCAGATTGATGGCATCGACGTGATGATATTACGGCCACTTCCTATATCTTTGAAGTCATATTTACATAAAAGGGGATTTTTCGAGATTTTCACAGACAACAGACGGAGGGTGTTGGGAATGCCTAATTTTTCTCTGGCAAAGCAAAGGTGGTGTTTATACGATCAACTCCAATATCTAGAATGGGAGGGATTGCTTATATTATAATGTTTCTGAGAGTTGGAGACATGGAACATACACAAACGTATTCTTTATTGGAAGATGAATTGGAAGATCGTACTGGATAACTGTACATACGAAGTAGAAGGTATGAATTTGAGGTGGGTATTTTTGTGTAGAGTATTCATTTGCACATATACCTAGCCATCGGTATGAGAAGACCAGTGGACGTAAAGTACAATTACGGTAACCAATACAGTTTCAGATATTGCGTGAACAATGAATGTAATTGTCATCTCAGTATTCTGTTATAGATTCATACAAGTGGAAGACAATTTTCTCTCATCAATTTCCTGATGAGAGAAAGGAGTCGTCAAGATTGCAAAATACAAGCTGGTGAAATGAATGTACCAGCATTTTTTAAAACCTACTTATGGACACTTCCAAAAGGGTACAATTCAAATAAGATTCGCACATTTTTGGATTGATCGAAAAACGATGGAAACGAGTTCCCCAAAATTCAATACCGTACTGAAATGAAACACGAAAATGGATAGAATAAACTTATTTGAAACTCGAGTATCTGTATTAACATTAATGAATATTGGTGCAAAGTTGCTCTGTTATGATGAGAGTTGAGCTAACTTACATGGACCTCCATATCAAGTTAACTATTGATGTATATCCCTAGGAATCTAGTCCTGATTTCATAAATCTTATTTGTTTCAGACTCAATGCAATCACTCTGCAAGAACCACTTTCTACAAAACCTCTACCGCAAAATAGACGGCGCCCTTCTCTGGTCGCAGAACGAGAGAAATTTGGACTGCATCATAACGTTTCAGACGCATTCCATTCTTCAGAGATTCATGCTCCGCTTCGACTTTCTTCAACTCGACTGCAATGACCATCTGTACATTTACGATGGCGCACACGCAGTTGGGACATACAAGGTGGGTGGAATCCGAAGTGTTCAATTGAAATCCAATCTGTTTTATGTCTGTGTTGTCAAAATTTATATTTTTTTTATTTTTTGTAGTTCGACTTGACCTGCAAAAACACGAAGCAGAATTTGGGAGCAATGTTTACTCGCACCAACTACGTCACACTAAAATATGTAACGGATGCCTGGGGAACTGACTCCAACGGTTTCAAGCTCGTCATTACTGCTGTCAAAGATCCCAGTGAGTACTGTTACGTTTTTTTCAATGCCCGTACAATGTTCGTACATCGTCTTTACAACGTCCGAATGAAGTCTGTACAACATTCGTATAAAATCCACACAACGTCCACGCAATATCCCTACAATGTTCGTACAACGTTTGTACAACGTTCGTACAATATCCTTACAATGTTTGTACAGTGTTCATATGATGTCTGCACAATATCCGTATGCAATCCGCATAACGTTCGTACAATATCCGTAAGATTTCCTCACAATGACCGTACAATATCCGTACAACGTCTGTATAAAATCCATATAATGTCCGTACAATGTCCGTACAACGTTTGTACAACGTCCGTATTAAGTCTGCAAAACATGTGTATGCATTCCCTAATATCTCTCTACAATGTCCGTACAACGTCCGTATCAAACCCGCACCGCATAATATCAGTACAACGTCTGTATAAAATTCGCCCAACGTTCGTACAATATCCGTACAACGTCCATCTCAACGCCCAATCGATCACAATTTGTATTTTACGTTTGTAGCCGACGTACTATTATCTACCAAAAGAATATGAATATGACGACATAAGTTGAAAACATTTTTAGTATTTGTGAAATATTCCTTGACATGTTGTTTTCTTTTTAGAGCATTCCTGTACAGAGTTTCGCTGCAACCTCAGGGAATTTTGTATAGCCACAGAACTTGTCTGCGATGGAATCAACCATTGCGCTGATGGATCAGATGAAACGTCCACAACTCTTTGCCAAAGTGAGTATTGACAAACTTATAGATTCTATGAAAATGTGCATAATGTTCATTAATTAACATATCACATTTGGTTCAACAAACAGGTAAATGGAATATCGAATTTAATTGGCATTCACTGAGATTTCACAGTTCATAATAGACTCATAAAAACGGATGAAACTTCTGAAACAACCAATAATTCACGCCAGTCATCGATCTCACTTGTAATTGCTTTTTCCTTCTTTTGCAGACAACGAGACGGGAACCATCCTCGGATTGGAAGTCACGTGGTTCGTCGTCGTAGTAATTAGCACGCTGTTGGTCCTGTTAGTCCTGATCGTTGCCGTTTCCATCTGTATTTGTCGGCGAGGATGGAACAACGCTAACTCAGGAAACGGGACGATGCAGCAGCAAAATGCAACCTATTCACGTAAGTTCATTAGTGTTTTGTCTGATTATTTCCGGTTACCAGAAGTGTGTGGTGGGGGCTGGGAAGGTTTGTAGACACGTGGACGTAGACACGTGGAGGATGCTTTGGTTAGAGGCGGGATGTCAGTCCTGGAAAATTTACCAATTAGCTTTTGTTTTGTCAACGCTAAAAATGAGATTGACTCAACTTTGTGTGCATTCCTGATGCGTTTCTTGATGCCTATTTACGCTATACAAAGAACCTACCTGCGTATTTCAAGATTCTAGGTTCAGTAGCTTCAGTTGTACGTTAATATCAGAGAAGGCAACAGCCAGTAATTTATATTTTTCCTCAAAGATACAATAACTGAAAAAACATGCCAACTGCACTAAGTAATGCATAGCTTCAAAAATCTAATTATGTTACCTATAAAGAAATTCGCGAAACTAACACAACCGTCAACGACGTCTGTCCTCACGCCTCTGTCCGCGTTCGGGATGCGTTCTCGGCGGTGGCGTTTCGTTGCTTGGACCACCCCTGCGCCCCTGCGCATCGTCTTCCATCCTCTTACAGTAGGCGCGATACGTAATGGCTTTCTGAGTCAAGTTATTCTTATCGTGAAAAGTTTTGAACGATTCGTCCAAATTACTCAGTGTAATAGACAAAGTTTATCTACATTGAATACTTGAAACGACAATTATATCAATTTTTATTCATTTACTTATTTATTTTATTTATTTCATACACTATTCTACAGAATAGGGGGTAACAGTGGCATGTACTAATATGTACCTACATAATATATGTTCTGAATCTATATAAAACAAAATAATGGACGCTCCAGAACTTGATTATTTATGGCGTAGTTGTGTAAATTCAAGTTCGTTTTCAATGAATAAGATATTACATTACATTTGGATAGGTTGAGAGACAGATTATTCTTTCGACACCATGTAGCAACGCGATTTGAATTCATGGCGAGACGTTCGCAATCATTAGAACATGTTATATTGTGATAGAGTTTCAAGTCATCTGCGTGTAGAAGGAAATTGACATCTCAGATATCGTTATTGAACATATTGAACAGTAGGGGTCCTAGATTTGATCCTTGTGGTACACCAGATGTGGCTATTTATTCGATAGACTTGAGGCCATTGACTTGGACGTTCTGCTTACGGTTATAAAACTACGATTAAAAGAGGGTAATTAATTCATTGGATAACTTAGAAGTCGAAAGCTTGTTGATGCCATGGTCAAGTCTGTCGAACGCTTTAGAAAAATCAGTGGTGATGACATCTGTCTGAGACTGACAGTCAATACCCTCTGCAATACTTTGAGTGATTGCTACAAGATTGGTGGCGGTTGAACGTTCTTTCATGAAACCCTGTTGATTGGGGCTAATAATGTTGCTGTTTATGTTCATAAGAATTTGACTATTCAAGATGAACAATCTTACGGCCTACATGTTATTCTGTTTCATATAAATCCGTTCAGTCGTTTAGGCGTTTAGGACACTATGAAGAGCAGAAGTTAATTTCATTTGCTCGATACGTCCAACTGATAGACCTATTTCGTGGTACTTGTCACATCAGAAAGTCACAACGAAAAATTTTTGTGGTCTGCGAATGTAGCTTCAAGAAGACCGTTATCAAATATAAAAGTTTGGAAGTCCTTGCTGATGGACCGTTCAGAAGCACTCAATTAATCCAAAAGAATAATTGGACGTTGAATTTAGTGACCCGGCCGTGATCAAAGAAGAGCACGATGAAAAATTTCCGAATGAAACACTTTCCAACAGAAGCTGTGGTGTGGAAAGTAAGTCCAGGCAGGCAAAAGAACATTTGCAATGATATCCTGTTTTCATTCAGCTGACAGTTTGGAATGTGGATCCCTCTGATTCTCCATTGTCTAGCCCCTGCGCTATTTGTAGAATAAATGAGAAACTCTCAGACAAAGTTTCCCTTCAGAAGAATATGGTAATGTCAACACACAAAACACATTTGCCACTGACTCCAATAAAACCTTCAGCAAACGACTTGAATACCGAACAAAAAGAAACGTGCTTCAGCAATCTTGTTAATAAACTGCTAAACGTATTCGGGAGTTCAATCTCTACAAATTCAAATTGAAAATCACCCCTCCGGCCTAGCGTGGTGGCATTCGCAACCAGAAACAAATTACGCAGAGAAACAAGCGACGACTTTCATTTCCTCAAGGCGTTCTTTCTCGGGCGAATCGAGTCGGAAAAATTAGTGACAGGGAAGCAATAAAGCGTCGTTGACGCAATTACCTTATACGAGTTCATGAACTAGAATGGAATCAGGGACAAGAATACACAGAAAATTAATAATGTCAATTGATAATGAAGAAGGTGTGTTGTTCAATATATTTTTTTAGCTCATCATTTTCAAATTGATTCAACTCCACCACTGTCCGATCATTTCTATATATGACTCTTCAGCTTCCTTAAAGAACGTTCCCTGAAAGTGGTCGTCGATGGATAATTCTCGAATACTTTCACCATCAATGCTGGTGTTCCCCAGGGATCCATTTTGTCTTCAACACTGTTTTTATTGTATGTCGGAATAAACCAAAAACCCAATATATTGCTTTGCTGACGACAGCAGCGCACTTGTCTCGTCATTCCATTTGAATTCCAGGACGTCGACTACGGAGGCACATCTTCATTGGCAGCAGGAGGTTTCATATCTTAATGAGGATCTAGAAGTGATTTTGAATTGGGGTAACAGTAATCAGGTTCAATTCAGTGCCAGAAAAACCCAGACACCGTTTCTCCAAAAAGATTAATGTCTCCGAACCGGATAAAATAATAAATTCACATTCAATAATGAAATTGATGTCATTATTGTGAAGAATGAATAGAAGCGGGTCTAAGACACTACCTTGAGGTACACCAATTTCGACACCTTTTTGGTTTGAATATGTCCCGTTGATTTTAGTCTGTTCAGTTCGACTAGAGAGATAACTTTCAAACCATTCAAGTACTAAAGTAGGAATTCCATAATATTTGAGTATTTTTGGTAGTATAGTAGCATCAATTGTCTCAAATGCCCTTTTAAAGTCTAGAAACACAGCCACTTTATATTTATTATCATCAACCTCAAGTTTCCATTTGGATATGGAAACTTGTAATGCTGTTTCACATGAGCGTGCAATATATTCTTCATGTGCCACAGTTTCAATCATTTTTTCAAGGGGGACCGAAAGAAATCTAAGAGATTTCTGTAATCTCTACTTTTTGTGTTTTGGGGTGGTTAAGTGTTTAGTTAAGTAACTCTTTGAACCATCTTTTCTGGTTACACCCAGTAAATTGAATGTCTGCAACCGTTTGTTGGAATCGAAATGTTGAGAATACCAACGGTATTGTTAGATTTTTTTATTACTTGGTAAGTCCAGTGTTGTAGTTAGTCTATACTTTTTTGTCGGCTACGTTAATAATTTTAATAAAATCAAAATTGTGATTGTCGAAATTTTTTTTCTCCCCCTATAATAATCCATGGCCGCATGTTTAAGAAACGCCCTGTTTAATAGTCAAATCAATTCCTATTTTTATTAGCCATAAATCATAGAAATGATGAAGGAATCGTTAATTACCAGAAATATTACCAGTAAATTAACGATATTAAAATAAGCCTACAATATATATACTCATGCTTATATACATATAACACGTAGACATATGATAATATTGAAGACTACCCGATATCGACGTATTCTCAATTCGATTATTATCAATGTCAGTTATATCGAAAACATGTACTATAGTTAGCTCATTCAATTCTATCGCATCAGATGTCGAATTAGAGTACAGATTTCAGCTAAGTGCTTTACTGAATATGTGATACGTACTGAATGGATCAAATTGAGTCTATTGCATGAAGCTCTGTCAAATGTTCCAACAATAATTGAGAGGTTACCATTATTTCATCATGAATAATAATATATTTATCACTGTCAGTACCTCACACTGATCTAGAATGTAAATTTTTGAAATGTGAACATGGATTAGTATAAATATTTGATGTTATCAAAGTCAACAGAATTCACGTTTTGTTGAACCCATCGGCAGTGAGCATGATCCTCAAAATAACATTGTAACACAGTTTGAGGAAGTTGAAAACTTCATTGCTGTAGCGGGGGGGGCGGCAGTTCCATCACATTTAGGATTATACTGGTTGTCCCAAAAGTTTTGTCCGTTTTAAAGACATGTGTGTTTTTAGCTCCATATCTCAAGAAGAGAATGTTGTACTCTATAATATTGTCGCAATTTGATACTCGCTTGGCTTATTAACGAGAGGATTCTATTCGCTGTTTCACCCACGCTGTTTCACTGACGTCTATCAGAAAACAATTACTCCCCTAGCTAATATCACGATGGGCGTTGAATTATATCCGACAGGCGTCAGTGCAGGAATCTTCACAGAAAATATCCTGCATATGCAATTGGCAATACAACTGAAAGTCGACCTTCAATTTCAGTAGATGAACAAGGCGGTTTTCATGACACTGGAAATTCAACTAACAGAAGCAAGGTATAACGGTCGAAAACGGTCGAAATCACACGCAAAACGATCGAAAACATGTAACATCCGTAGTCGTTAATTGAAACGGGTTACTTTGTTACTTAGGGGCTAAATTATGGGCTGCCGGAACTCAGCGGAGAGGGATGGTGGGTAAATATAAGTCCACTTGGTCGAAACGGTCGAAACAAACGCGAACGCGTGCGTCTTCGATCGTTTCGCGTGCATCTCCGATCGTTTTTTGTGTGTTTTCGATCGTTTTGCGTGTGTTTTCGACCGTTATACCTTGTTTCTGTTAGTAGAATTTCCGGTGTCATGAAAACCGCCTTGTTCATCCACTAATATTGGAACGGGCACACAAAATTGAAGGCCTTCGTTAGCTTCATCTAATCCCGAGCGCACAGCTTTCATGGTGACGAAACCAATCGATTTGTGTTTTAGATATTACACTTCAGAGTGGACTCATGGAAACAGACAAAATTTTCGAAACAACCCGATATTACACTAATATTCCAATACATTAACCAAACCGCAATCATCCCCAAAAACTAACCCCCTCTTTTTTTCTAGTTCAACAGATGTACGGCTCGAACGGCGCCATGAAGCCCAGTTCCGGCAGCATGACGACGCTGACGGCGACGGGCGGCGTCGGTGTCGCGACGAGCGTCCAGCAGCCGGGAAACTGGTGCCACCCTGCGGGCCCACTCGGGTTCCGCCTCAGCACGCCGGCTCGGGCCCGCCTCTACTGCCTGGCAAAGTGAGACATGCGCCGCCGCCGGCCAATGGCGGCGCCGACGCGGATCACGTGTCCCAGAGCCAAAAGGACGAGTGGTTCGTCTAGCAGTAGGTAAGTCATGCTCAATTCGATCATAGTTGGCATATCGTTGATAATGAGACTTCAAAATTCCAGTCAGTGACTTGAGCGGTTCCGCAGGGTTCTGTTTTCCGCCCATTGTTGTTTCTGATGTACACAAATGATTTATGGAAAATGAGAATTGGAACTTTTGATCTTTTTACAACACTTTGTATTTGTAACTAACGTTACTGCAGTTTCGTCCTACGAGGACATCTTCAAACAGATGCAATAACATTTGATACACTGTTTGGAACTTTTGGTGTAGTAATGAATAAAGAGACAGGTATATCTGATAACCAAAAAGATTATTTCCACAAGCTATTTGGTAAACTATTAGATATTGGTCCACCATCGTAACCATAATATTATTATGTTACCTTATTTCTAAGCTCTCATAGGCAACTAGACGCCTGTTTTTTTTGGAAACTGATCTAACTAATCCTAACGAACTGAAGTCTATGGAATGGTTCTATTGCAAAACATGATAGGCGATTACTGATGATTTTTCTGGTCTTTCAGAACTGAGATATATCATCATTTTCACCTGGTCTGGAAGATCTTTCATTTTCAGTTTACCGTTTTGAGGAATATTGGCCACATTAAAAGTTAAATATTCTGTAGCGAAGTTAGGTTCAATTAGTTCAGTTTAAATGAGGTTAGCTTAGTTTAGATTGGGCTAGGTTAGAATAAGATGGGATAGGATAAGTTAGGTTAGATCAAGTTAGATCGCGATATGATCGTCGAGGAGTCGAAAAGGCAATAAAAACGGTTTTTTGTCGTTATATCCGAATATTTTTCCATGTTTTTTGCAGTTTTTTAGCTATTTGACCAATCCTAATTCAAAAAATAAAATAAAACTTTAACTTCTGCACATTTTTTTTTCAGAGAATATGTGTTCAACTATTGACTAATGAAGAAAATATTTCACTGATATCGGTATACTATTTTTGCCATATTGACGGAAACAAGATTATAATAATAATCATATACAGCCTTTAAAAAGTAACTGTCATAATTCAAAGTGATAGTCAATTAATATAATATGTTCTGAACGTCTCCGTTTCTAATATTCATTAAGGAAAAATATCCCTTCTATACATATATTCATATAGTAAAAAGAAAAAAAAAGCTTCATCTCTGCCTGCCTCCTGTGAGGATTGAACTCACGACCCCTGGTTTACAAGACCAGTGCTCTGCCACTGAGCTAAAGAGGCTTACGTTAAACTTAGTCGTAACTAATGTACGAGATCTACATATTGACTTTGTTTCATGAATGAAACAATAGTAAATATTATATCTGAATCTTCATAGAAGTATTATGTAATGTCACAGAGTAACTGCAAGATAAACACATATGAAAAGTATAAAAATTCGTTTTTGAGAATGAAATGTAAAGTAGACGTTTCGTCATTTTCAATAACAGATACGATAGGATAATGCATTTTTATTTAAATAGGTAGCCACTTGGTTTAAGTGAACAATACAGGAATGTTTGAAAATTTTATAGGTATACGAGGGCCAACAAAAGAAAAACACGTTTTCAATAAAGCTTATCTGTTTGTGATTTATCTGGCTCAAGAAAAAAATAGCAACTTCAGGCCTCTAGCAGAAGTTGAACAGGGTTACAAATGATTCTATTTCATTTTTAGAAATAATTATTTGTATGTGAGATTTAAACATAATTTTTTCCGTTTTTATACTGTTCATGAGTTTATCTTATAATCATTATATTATTCATTTATAGAGCGAACCTGAAGTATTTTGCTAGATTAATCATTTGCCTGTTCATTGATTACTTCAATAGGAAAAGAAGGGTAGGAAGAGAAAAATAGTCTCAATTTTTTGTTAAACTTCGAAAAGTTACATGGCGTTGGAAAATCTCATCTGACAAGAGTTCCACTGACAGATTGATCAAACAAAAATAGAATTAGTACCGGCAACTCTTCATAAGAAGGAAGTTGACCTTGCAGAAGTCTCTTGTCAGATCTTCAACACAACAGCAATGGATGGAATGCTCTCATGTTCTCTTGATTTATTGGTGTTGTAGCCAGGACTGACAAAATCTGTGAGAGTTGAATTTTCCATCACATCTATCTCATGATTCTAACCTCTCTTTCTTTTGTTCCAGGAGCGACCGGGTCGTAGCCTGCAGGGTGAGCCAGGCGTAGAACCCATCGCCTGGCCAACAGCCACAGTTTTCTACGATACCGACAATCGACACGATTCTTCTTCTTCGTGTGATTGACTCTTAAGTGTAAGGACAATGTTAGATATATATCTTATACAGTGGAATTTTGGATATCTTCCTTTTATCTTACGTCTCAAAATGCCCCTCGAAGAGATCCCAAATTTTGGACAGAGTCACAGTAAAGAAAATATATTGATGAAATAATTAATCCAAAAATACCAATCCTATATCATTGTACTATTCCAGAAACGTTTCAATTTTCAATATTTTGACTCCAAAAAAATCATGGCATTTTTTTCGGGACGTTTTTGACTTATTTTTTGATTCCTCAAGCGAAGTTTGTCGCGATATCTGTTCTATTCAATGCTGAATAATTGGAGCAATCATTCTACAGCATCGTCAACTGTATTGAGACAAATAGGATTGTCAATTCGCAAAAGAGCCTCTTGGTTTCGAAAAAAATGTAAGGTCCTTTAGAATCTTGAACAGATTGAAAAATATTATGAAAGACAATATGTACCTTTTATCACTACTGTCTAGTATATCTGAAAAGTACCCTTAGTCTTATAAATGTGGAAATATAGCCTAATGTAGGAAATAACTAGTGAAATCTCTTGGTCCGAAGTTGAATTTTTGTACATGTTTTGAAAGGTTTTTGAAATTTTTGGATTGCATTTGTAAAGTCACACAGCTATGTACTGCCGAAAATGAAAAAAAAAGTTGTAGACCACGTCATATCAAGGCTGTTGTGTAAAAATTGAAATAAACATATCTGAAACCATATCTTAGCGATTTCCTCAGCGGAATCATTGATATCTACTCAGCTTCTGATGGATTTAACAAGCTTCAGCTTCAGGTTCAGTGAAGATGTATTTCGAACATGCCAATCAATAAGGAATATGATTCGTCGAACAACATATTGGAGATTTGTTCCTAGGTATAAGAAAGACTAACCTTGATATGACTAAAGACTATAATTGATAATGCTATTGAAGATTGCTTGAGAGTGTAAGATACTACAAACGCACAGCCCATATAGATAAGTCAGATTGACACTACTGTAATGTTGATAAGTATAAAATAGAAAAAATCACTTCTAATTGTATAGCACTATGGTGTGAGGCCTGGTAAAATAATAATCCCACCACGATTTGCGAAGACAAAAAAAGAAAAATGAAGTATACAAGTCTATCTTCATTCGAAATTGAAGGACGTCGTAGTTTGGAACTGCATCCCTGGCTTCTTCAGAGGTTCATTCATTTTGACGATTCACCGATGACTGGTGATTCTATTTATGTTGACTATTGTTGATGTGTGATGGCCGAAGTGTTACTACCTGTTAATGATGTATCTATTCCCGCCGTACCTGTTAGCGCGTTGTTATTGGTTACGGTATCAATACCTGACTTATCAATAAGTGACCTGTCGTCTGTAAGAGCCGGAACATTGCGATGAGTTAATTATCAATACTGTAACCAATAACAAGCCGCTATCCAGATTGATAAACTTCTGAAGACGTTAGGATGCAGTTCCAAACTAAGTCCGCCTTCAAACCTGAATGAAGATTGTAGCACTTGGCTAAACTAGTTTGTGAGTTTTAAGAATCGCCTTTTGGGCTGCAAAACGCCCCACCGTATTTACATGCGATCATGGAAAATTAATCTTGCAACAAATGAAACATTTTATGGTGATGTCGTTTGCGTTCTTCGTGAGTTCGATTTGATCGAATAAAGAATGTTTCCTGGGATTATTATGTAATACACCAGGAGTTATGGGAGCAACCTAATTTCCCATTAGATTGCTTTCATCAACTAGATCTTCTTCTCCAAGTTGAAGTTATTGTAAATGTATAGAAAAGTAATGATTAAGCTACGTTATGAGCCCAATTTCCAACAACAACTCTTAGCAAAGTTTTGAACCACAATGGTTTTCGGTCGACAACAGTTTTGAATTAGTTTCTCTGAAACGGCTCTTCAAGATAGGGCTGTAGGAAAGATTGAAATCATACTGAAACTTTCCAAATTAGCTGGGCGTGAAGTAAAGTTTTGTGAGGTGGTTGAATATTGCTATAGAGTTGTTATTACTGACCCACTCCAGAAATAACGAACTATTACAATTTCGTACGGTTTTTTACTATAGCAAACCCAGTAAGTTTCTATTCAAATCTTTCTACAATGTTTTGACCGTTTAGAATGCTTGAAAGCATAGTAAGGGCTTGTATTGCCAAGAGACGCATGTTCTCAAGCTTGTGAGCAAATCGCAAACGTCTAGTTTTATAGCAATAATTTTGTTAATACTTATATTCTGCTTCTAGTACTGATGAATATCACTTAAAGTTAGTTGTTGGAAGAGAAAATTTATTCACAAGTTAGCAATTTTTAGACATATCAGAGTCATGTATTATGTACATATCATCCATATTTATGGTAGTTCCTCCAAAGACCATATTAGATATTTTAGCGTGAAGTATATCAGCAATTTTCGACCAACTCGTCTCCAATTTTTTTTCACGACAGTTAGGTGTAGAAATTTGCTGTTGATGTTTGTCAGCGCCGAATTTTGTTTTGTGTAATATGATTTGCTCACAAGCATATTTTAACTTTTGTGTGCTGAACATATATAGGTAATAATGCCTCCCACACATATCACATAAAAAAGCAACTGGCTTCAAATTAATGTTTGGCAAAGTAACTAAAAATCATACAGTAAGTTCCTTAGACGACCCATGTCTTTGACAATTTGTTATACTCATTCAGTGTAAGCAAAATCTTCAGATAATCCACATACTCATTGGTAGACGAAAGGTTTGTTACCCGAAAACACGATGTAAAATAGAAGTATGAAGGTTTTTCGATACATATGTTGAAAATGATGATCTCAGTTACTATTGCAGATATTATTAGTTGTGTAATATCCGACACATTCCCAAATTTTTGTACACCAGCAGTATTCAGTGTGAAAAAAAAACAAATTAGGAAGCTGTTGACCAAATGTTAGATGAAATTTACGGTTCCCTTTTAGCAAAAGCATTTATTGAAATGTCCGTGTGTGTTCTTAAATGGAGTACAGAAAATGTTTATTTAATAAAAAAATATATTTAGTGACTTCTTTCTTTTCTGAAAATCCTTTCCATAAGTGAGATGATATAGGTAAGTATTCCAGGTTTATAGTGATCAACAGAATGAATAAGATAGTGTTTTCAACGTGCAGTTTTGAAGAATATCTTTTAATAATGATGATGATTCAGAATAGAATTCTTCAGGTCTTCGTTGATGAGTCTTTTTGATATCAAAAAAGTTATACAGCCAAGCTTTGAAGGAAGAGATGAGAATAAAGTTATAGAACCTTTATACACTTAGGTATGCACATTAAGAATAACAAAGTTGGGTTATGTCCGAGGTTTTATATAGGTCAAACTGGAAGAACGTTCTGAGCCCGTATAAAGGAACACAGAAATAGTTTTCATGGTGGAAAAATAAACTACACATATGCCACTTTTTTGATCACAAAGGGACATCAGTTCAATTATGAATTCAAGCCCTCCATTACCAGAAGAAAGGTTTAAAACTTAATCTGTCGAAGAGTATGGAAATAAACAAATTTGGGAACTCCCAATATCTCATAGACGATTGAACTGAAGTGAATAATTCGCCATTATTAAATCTTTTCATTTCCAGATAGGAAAAGTTGGGTATAACAAGTGGGTAATATGTTAGATTAGAGTATAAAATAGTTGTAATTTAGAAGTACTTAGATCGTAAACACAAACGACACAAAACCGATGACATTGAAGTAAACATTTCTCATCCGCCTTGTCTCTGTTCTTTGGCCACCCTGTGAATATTTAATTGTGGAGGAGACGTGACGGCACATAATCCAAATAAAACGACAACGGGTAAGTAGAAGAATGCATTAACATCCGATAAAATCTGAGCGTTCATCGCGTTGCGAATGGCAAATAAAAATAAAGCTCACTATTTTTAATAATCTGTTGCTCGAATTTTGGCACCGCTCTCATTTCAAGAGGTTATCTGAGCATTGCAATCAGAAGCGCAGTGAAAGAGGTACATGGGAGGAACTTACTTGCAGAAAGCGTGGGTATTTGTGAATATAATGAAGTACGATGTATTATTTTAGGACTGGGAGTATGTCAAAAGTTAGTGAAATAATCGATCAGAGTTATTGGGTATCAAATACATACAAATCTCGTACAAAAATTTGTGAAATGATTGATCAGAGCGATTGGGTGTCAATTTGAAAGTCAAATTATAATACTCGTATGTTGATATTAGAAATTTTCAATCAAGGTTTCGCTTGACGCTATACAAAGGACCCACCTGCTTATTTCAAGATTCTAGGTTCAGTAGCTTCGGCTACTTCGGCTAATTTGACAGATATTCTGAAAGAAATGGATAAAACCCCTTGGATGATACAATTTCCAGCCAAATTTTCATAGTTTTCAAGTCATTTTATATATTTTTAAAGAATGGAAGTCCGAACTGATGAAATTCATTTCAGCTACTCTTTTCAATTTTCAATTTGTATTGGTTCTTTTAGGGATTTCAAAACATTTTATATATTATTACACAACGGAAGACCGAACTAATGAAATTATACCATGTTTACTGCACGTTAATCTCTGCAAAACTATTCTTGCACTGAAATCTCCCATTTGGGGAAGTTTATTCTGAATCGGCAACACCGTAAGGTGTTTCTCGTGGACCAAAATAGCCCGATGAGAAGCTGACGACGAGACGAGATGTAACATACCGCTTGATGTCAAACAGTGATACATCGTTTTGTAAGTAGTTTTATTATCGCTCAACTGTTCCAAATCCACTTTCCAATCACTCAGTCATCATTAATTTTATCGAATCCGGCCTTTAACTTGAACAATGAGTATTCACCATGAAATAATTTTGAGCTAAGGTTGTCTTTGGAATAGTATAAAAGTGTGAAGTTCATGGAAAGCCTATTTTTAACGTTACCGCTGAATCTAATGGGACTATTTGTATATGCAATGTGCATTGCATGAATGATATGTTCCTTGAACTATTCGGTAGAACAGTGGAACTTTCTTGTGTTTGTGTTGAAATTATATTTTTTTCTGCCATGGACACAACTGCCGTTGATGTACCTGGTCGCAAATCGCGTCTGGGTATTACTTCAGCACTGCCAAACGTTCTAAACACTTTATTAGCTATTTCTGTCCTGTGTGCTACCGATTCATCAACATACCCTTCAGCGACCGTTAATGATTTCCAACCACCATGTTTCTTTAGTGTCATCAAGTCTCCCGCAGATTCTACTAAAAGCGTAGCAGACGATCTTCGAAATGAATGACCTGTATATGAATTGGCATTTTCAAGTTGAAGAAAATTAGCCACTGCTTCAGGAACCTTATAAAACTGATTGCTACCCACAACATGATTGATAGATTTTCCATTGCGATATGCATAAAACAGGCGGCGATCCTTCGCTGCTGATGGACGAAGGGCTATATGTACATTCGGTAAAATTTAATATATTCTTCAGAAACTACAAATCTCCTGTTTACACTTGGTTTCAGAAATGTAATTAGTTTGAAATATTTTGAAATGTCTCCATTATTATTAGATTGTAAAATACTTTCAATCGTTGAATAATTCGACCACACTGTTGATGGCTTTCGTTGTTGTGCCAGTTCCAAAAAATAATTCAATAACACCGTCTCCGAGAAAGAACTCTATCATCTTTTTCATCTTCCATTCCATAAATCTTGCACGGTTTCATAAATTTTCCGCGATTTAGCTGGCAATAATTTTTGTGACGCTACTTTCGCTGCTTCTACTAACTCCGGTAGAGTCAGAGAAAACTCGGAATTAAGACATTTTTCCAAATAAATATTGACCACTAAGTTCGCAATTTTTAAATCACAGAATTAAGTTGACAGATATTTGATTTTATATCGATTGGTTTCCTAGTTACGCTATAAGTACAACAGCCTACCTGTTCAAAAATTCAAATTTCACATCGATAATTTTCTGACTTTGATATATTGTGACACAACCTCGAGCTAAAATCTAATATTTTTCCCTTGTATAATAAATAACTATTTTCAGATAAACACTGTCGAAAATTCTGGTTAGTAGCGGTCAAGAACATAATATATATCTTCAATGTTGTTTCACATCTGTCAAATATCAGTGTTGTGACAGATTTGAATCGTGATAATTTCCGATACCTTCAAAACTTTGTCACAGCTGCCATAGACGGGCATTGTACAAATACCCTGTTGAAGTTACTTCAATCACATTGTTCGGAGAATTCCAAAAAAATATGCTCGCCAGATTGCCGAGAAATCTGCGCGTAAAACCCAAAAACATCCGGCAACTCCGCTCAGCCAAAGCTCCCAACACGCTTAGCCATTAGGTAAAGTCATCTTACCTCAGTTTCAATATCTCCAGCGTATAGTCTGTATCACCGGGTTGTCCAAAGCTCCGGCCACGTGTTTGGTTTCTCACCAAAGAAAAACAGTATCGCGAAGACGGAAACAGTATCGCAAAGGAACAACTACGGGATCGAGAAAAATTTGGCGAGCTGTCATGTGCTATTTCGGGGGGTTTTGCAAAGTGGTGTTCTGTATCTGAGAGTGTGGAACATGTGGTTGAAACGGATCTTTCACACGCTGCTTCTTCTGAGTGTTGCGGTTTCCACTAGCAATTGCGGTAAAGGCAACCGCAGATCTAATGGCAGACAAGGTAATTGGTAATTGCACGCTGGGTCCCGTTTTTAATTGGCACAAGTTGACTGATTTGGAAATAGCACCGTTTCTTTTAAATGACGCTGGGCAACTTGAGTTTCAATACTTTTGGTTCTGAGGATTAATGTTCTGAAATTAACATTACTGCCCCTCTTCAATTCATGTATTTAATTACAAACTTGTCATTTTACAATGAACATATAAATAGTGTAAGAGGAAAATTAACAATCGAGCAGTAATATAGAATGCCAAAAAAAGAAAATATCAATTAATTATTGATAATAATAATCTTCAGCAGTTTCTTCTTATAGGTTATATAGGTGCTATTCCTATTTACCAGCCTAATCATTCTAGATTGGTAATAGATTCATATAAGACATGAAGTTATTTTAGACAACCAATTTGACTTTCGAAAAGGATTGTCGACCAACTTTGCTATTTTGGCACTTACTGGGGAAATTTATAAGTTACTAGATGAAAGAAAACTTAGTCTTTGCGTGTTTCTGGATTTAGCCAAAGCTTTCGACACCATAGATCATAAAAATATTCGAAAATACAATTATATTCGTCCAAAAATTATTAACAACAATTAAAACAATATTGCTCCACCACAGGTCTTTCACAGTGGTTTACCCTTTATTAAGGGGTTCACTCCCAAACTCTCTATAATATTTGACGAATTACAACAAAGTAGTTCTTACAATTGAAACGATATACCCCAGATTTGAAGATAAACCCCCCTTACTCCTCGAAAGAATGTGGTATATAGAATTCCATGTCAATCTTGTAACCGAAACTATGTTGGTCAAACTTCAAGAGCTTCAAGATGCAGAATAACCTCCCACAAAAGTGATTGTGAGCCTCGCTGTGAAAATTCTACCCGCAGGTAAACATTTCTCAAGAGATTCTTCACAATTTTCTTCGATATGTCAACAGGCATAAAGTTCTTCAGATAATAATGGTCATAAAGACTCCCAGTTATATGTCTACATGGAACTCGTCAGTTATCATACAGTACAAGTCTTACAGGCAACTACGGATACACATTTTGAAGTTGGTAATAACTATTGTCATTATTGCTACTGACATATGTCATGTCAACTGTCAGTCCCAACCAATAGAGATGACTTGTGAAATTTCCACGCGTGGATAAGATCCCCTTTTAATAGTTTTAAACTTTAACGTATTTTATTAAAAGTTAGACATCTTTCTCCAGCTTTTTGTA